TATATATATATATATATATATATATATATATATATATATATATATATATATATTGAATCCGGTGCACACCCCCTATTTAGCCGAGTCCGTGAGCACATTCCTTGATCGTTGATGTGGTTTTTTTAACGTCTCAGATGATGTGCTATTTTAAACACATGTGCGCTAATTATTTAGGTAGGCAGGGGTTGTTTTGTAATTAGCCTTTGTCTTTTATTATGACATGGCTTTTTTTTTTTCGCCGTTTTAATTGTGTGTGAGAAGAGTTAAAATAGGAATTTGTTTTATTTCCCTTCCCAAAGCATTCCGTTCGTAGAACTCTCTAGAGCAGCCTCCTCGATTCCGCAGCCGATCGTCTTCCATTCGCCTCATCGTTCCGGTACACGACGTCAAGTATTCTTCATGGCTGGTTCCAATAGGAGGCAGTATAAGCGGCTTAGGGGCATCTCTTCTGCGGACAGTTCAGGTACTATTTTTCTCCAATTCTTTGAATTTTTTTTTCATTGTTTTGTTTGTTTTGGCGTTTTATTCATCGGGGTTTCTGGGTTTCTGCAGTTCCGAAGGGTTTTGGGTGTGGGATTTAGGATTTTGTATTTTTCATGGGTTGTAGTTCATCTATGTTATTAGTTTTTTTTGGGGTTTTATTCGGGGGTTTGGGTGGTGGGTTTGGCATTCGTCCGTGTGCTTTGGGTTTGGGGGGTTGGGGGGCGACGGGTGTGATGTTGGGTGTTGTACGATTTCTGGGTTCGGGTTCAGGTTTTTTTTTTTTTGTTTTTTTTTTGTTTTTTGTTTTTTTTCCAGAACGTATGGGGTTTTGGTTTGGGGTGGTCTGTAGTTCTGGGTTGTTGCGTACGTTTGGGTTTTTTATTGGGGGAGGGGGGTGGCGTAAGAGTATATGCATGTGGGTTTTTTGTTGTTTTTTTTCTCCGGTCGGAGTGTGTTGGAATGGGGTTTTAGGTGGGTTGTGATTTATGGGTTGTTTATGAGTTTTTTTTAATTCTTCTGGTGGTTTTTTTTTTTTCCGGTGTGGTTCATCATTCCATTTTTATTTTGAGGAGTTTGCATATTCTAATCTTTTGCATTTTATAAATTGTTGGTGTGTTGTTTGTTTGCAAAAGTGTTATTTGCGTTATTGTTTTGTATGTGCACAATATTTTGTTGGGGGTGAAAGGTATGAGGCTTTGAATGTGTGGGTATTTGGCCTGTGACAGATTTTGTTCTTTATGTTGGTGACATGGTTACTTTTCATGTTATTTATGTTTATGTTTAGGGTTTTTTTTTTTTTTTTTTGCATGATTGTTTATGATTTTTTCTGACAATCTCAATCAATTTTTGTCTTACTGTATTTTTTTTTTTTTTAATGAAAGTCATTTCCACATTAGGTGAATGGCGTATGGGGTTTGATTTTTTGCTTGGGTAATGCATATGGGTCCAATAATTTGTGTGTTCGGGTTTTGAGTTTGTAATCTGCATTGTGGTTTTATTTTTCCTGTTTTTTGGTTTTAGGTTGGTGCGCTACTGGTTTTGGGTGGGGTGGTTGTTGCGTTCTAGTTTGTTACCTGTGCAAGTTAGGGTAAAGTGTTGTTGGTATTTCCTACTGCTGGTTTTGTTGTCGGTTTTGCATTTATGTTGGTGCGCCACTGGTATTGGGTCGGTGCGTGTTTATTGTTTTTTTTTAGGATTTTTTGGGCTTGCGTAGTTAGGTATGGTGGTTTGTGCGTAGTAGTATGTTACCTTGTGCAAGTTAGGGTCCAATGTAGTTGCTAATTGGCACTAGTTTTTTGTTTTTTTTTTTTTTTTTTTTTTTTTTTTTACATTTAGGTTGGTGCGCCACTGGTATTGTGTTGATGCATGTTTATTGTTTTTTTTAGGAGTTTTTCGGGGGTTGCATAGTTAGGTGTGGTGGTTTGTGCGTAGTAGTATATTACCGTGTGCAAGTTAGGGTTTAGTTTTAGTTGCTAATTGGCACTACTGTGTGTGTGTGTTTTTTTTTTTTTAAACATTTAGGTTGGTGCGCTACTGTTGTTGGGTCGGTGCTTGTTTATTTATTTATTTATTCTTTCTTAGGAGTTTAGGGGCTATCGTGGCTACGGGTGTTGTTTTGTGCGTATTAGTTTGTTGCCGTGTGCGAGATAGCGGTAAAGTTTTGGTGCTAATTGGCACTGCCGGTTTTTGGATTGCTTTCTTTATCTTGGTTCCTTAATTTTATAATGCCTTTTTTTTATTAAAAAAAAAAAAAAAAACAGACATATCGACAGTAGGGGGATGCGGTTTTGGGTTTGAGTACGCGTTTTTTTTTGGTTACTCTGATTAATTCTTGTCATTCCCAGGTGATGTTCCGGTTGAGCCTGTAGTTGCGCGTGTGAGCCCGTAGTTGCTGTAGCGGTTGCACCTTTGCGTTGGCAATGTGGTCGCACCTTTGCCACAGGCTGATGATGCCGAAGGTTCGGATCAGCCAGCACAACCAGCGCCGGATTCGGATGGCTCAAATGTTGAGCCCGATGAGGTTGATGAGGCTTTATTTCCCCCCCCCCCCCCCCCCCCTCTGAAGATTCGCGCTGCTCCGAAGCACCTGGTCAAACCGATGATTTTGAGTTAGTTGATGAAAATGTCAGGGTGTCAAACTAAATTCCTTATCTTCGGATTTGTTATTTCAAGGCATAACTCTGTTGATATTTGCTATCATTTTTAGGTTCTATAATTGTTGTGTGCCAGATTTACGTTTAGTTGCAACGCATAGATTTGTTATTTTATGGCATAACTCTGTTGATATTGGATATCAATTTTAGGTTCTCTAATTACAGTATAGTTGCAGAAAGTTACGTTCCCATAGTTTAATCTCAAAATTCTTTGGTATCATTTTTTGCTGCCCAGTAGATAAATGAAGCATTCTGTAACTATTTTGATTGTAAGACCTCTTTTGTTTTATATTAGGTGGTGCCCATTATGCACACACTTCTTGTCTATGTGTGTGCCCATTTTAATTTGGTCACAAAATTCAGGCCGTTGCTCAATTCCAGTATTAATATCCATACAATCAATAACTAATACCCAAACATTCACAAATTACAATACAGGAAATCAATATCGTGGCCATATTCGCACGCGCCGGCCACTATCGTGGAAATCAATATCGCGGAAAACTAACACTACTATGCACATACTAATGTTGGCTTACGCACCCTACTATTAATCTAAAATCATTAGAATTTGGAATCAAAATTCATGTCGTTCCACATATTCAGATATCAATCCCGCATGCACAGACTTACCCCTACATTTAGCTCGTCTCACCAAACAAACAACAAATTTAATACAGGAAAACGATTCCCTCCTCATACGCAGCTATAATGCACAGACTAATCTAAGCCGATGCACCCGACGCCTAAACTTCCGTTTTATATTCACTATGTAATAAACCCGGGAGGGTTGCACAAGCTAATATGCAACCACGCTACCACCTATACGCTGTTTACTGAGGCACACAAACAGCCCTAACTTATAGTTCGTTCGACCCAACAACAAAAATCTAAGAAACAGAAAACATGGCAATACGCACAGGCCTATACACGCTTATGCACTTACCTGTGCTAGTACCAGCCATTATTGAAGTGTGATCCTTGGTTGCCTCTGTACTGCTTGTACTGTCTCCCATTCGTCTGCGCTTTCAGTATCGTTCACGCGTTTTTTTTAATACGTCTATACAGAACATTTAACAATCGATGTCCTCAATTACCATTCATAATATCCATAATTTAATGCTTAAGATTCCATTACTATTATATCCATAAATAAATAAATAACTACAATTACAATTTAATCCTTTTGATGAGAAACACTGATTTTTTTTAAAAAGCACGGTGGCATTTTCGTAAATAATTGAACATCGAAGTGCAAGTAAAATGTATTATAAGTGCATGTAAAATGTATTATAGGTGCAAGTAAAAATTTACAGTGAGCATCAATACTAAGTGCACCTATAGTTATAAGGAGTTGCACCTATAGTTATAAGGAGTTGCACATAAGTAGTTGCACACATAGTTATAAGTAGTTGCACCTAGGTGCATGAATGTTTGCGAGTGGTTTTCAGGGGTATTACTACCTGCTGAACTCATATCAATGAATGTTAACAAGGCAAAATTACATGCACTTATAGGTGAAAGTAGGTGCACCTATAGTTATAAATAGTTGCACATATAGTTATAAGCACACCCAATTGCATGAATATTTGCAGGAAGTGAATGCTAACATTGCAAAATTACATGCACTTATAGGTGAAAGTAGGTGCACTTGTAAGTGATTTTACTTGCATTTCGATATTCAATTATTTACGAAAATGCCACCGCATTTTTTTAAGCTATTAGATCTGGACACGTGTTGCGCGCTGATTCGTTCGCATATTCCTTCATACGCACTTATTCGCACCTGAGTGCATCCGTGTATATATATATATTTTGGTTCCTGTGAGGTCATGTCTTCCCGTGCGGTCAGCGCGGCATACACCATTAGGTATGTTTAAATGCACCATACAATGTTCGAAATACACCAGAATGAAATGTCAAAAATACACCACACAAAACAAAAAATACACCACACATAATGGTATACGAACACTGTGTGGTGCATTTTTGCATACCTAATGGTGTATATCGCACTGACCACACGGGAAGACATGACCTCACAGGAACCTGACCCTATATATATATATATATATATATATATATATATATATATATATATATATATATATATATATATAATCATTAAGTATTATAATTAATGACATGACAGTTACATTTGTTACATTGAGAATTTTTAAGATGCTGTAATTTTAAAAATTTACTGTTTAAACATGTTTCCACCTCACTCTAAACAAACTAAAGAATAAAAGTTAAAAAATGATGGTTCACTAGTACTCCCCTCATATGGCTTATTCACACTTGCACTGATCCCCCACCATTCATTCCCTTCAATCTTCGTAAAGAATTTAAACATAATTTCAAGAAAAGAGAAGAATATGATATAGTCTTTAAACCAAAACTGCTGTCTTAAAACATATTGTTACAAATTGGCAAAACTGACAATCTAAATTGACTGACAAAAATATGAATACACAGAATATGTGTGCGACTGACAATCTATGAATGGAAGGAAAATACTCTATCCACACTCCAAGCTCATCTGTTGGGAACCAAAAAAAAAAAAAAAAATGGATGCAAATCACAAAGACCTACTTTGTGTGGTCTGGTCTGTCACAACCAGCAAAAAAAATTTCCAAAATGAATGATATATAGACAGCTTCAAATCCAAAAACAAAGCCATGTGCTCGAAATCCAAGCACTTTGGTGGTGATCGAACTCCCGGCCATCTGCTCCCAAAAGCAAACGACCAATTACAACAACATGGATACGCAAACACACCTGCAAGAACGTAAGATGATCAATAGATCAGAAGGGTATACGCTTGGTAGCTAAGAGCTCCTTGAACATAATCATGTAAAACAACGAGTTCTTTCCCCAATTAACTAAAAGCGGAAATGCCAACTAGTCAACTACTATGTACTGTGATGGCACCTCTGTTATCATTTCAAATGGGTGATCACAGGATCAAACCCCGGTGTTAGAGGCAGGGCATTGATTCTTTGGGCTGAAAAAGATAAAGTATAAAACAGATACTACCTTTGTAAAGAATCATGAGTGTTTCAAAAAAAATACTTAATGGCAGTAAAAACTTGGTCTCCAGTTGCTATGGTTCAATAATGTTAAGAGGAGAGGTAGAAACAAAACAATCCCAATCAATAAAAAAGTATGAGCATTGATTTACCTTACCTATTATAATTGGCAAAGCACATACCAATAGTAAATGAAGGTACGCCAATCTTCTGCCCCTATGAAAAAACCCAATCTCAAATACGAAAATTTAATAAGTCTCCAACACTGACTGAAGGTGAGGAACCCGTCGACGGAACAATGGTTCTAGCCGGAAAGCGGGGACACCAGTGCGCCACCTATTACTATCATACATCTCATTCCACGCTTGTACTATCTCGTCAATCTTGAAACCTAAAATACAACATATGTAGCTTGATAAATAAAACAATATCCTACTTAAATAGCCACGAAGGATGTGGTTCAGTTCTTTACCTTCCAATGCAGTATCATTAGAATTGTGGTTCTTTATCATGACTGCAATATCTGTTTGAGAAGCCCCGGCTAGCTCAAACTTTTCAACTGCAACTTCTAAGCATTCTTCCCAAGTTGGCAAATTCAGCTTATACTCCATAACAGAACGCTCGTACAGCAAAGTACCCCATAACAGGTAAATCTGAGACCTCATGTTCGCAGCTCGCTCTTCAGATTCTTCGGGTGTGACATCTTTGAGTAGCCCGTCCAACCCCATTTTCCGCAACTGAGCTTTATGTTCTTCACATTTGGAGAGCCCGTTAAGGCGTTCTTCTTCCATCTCCTCCCATATCTGCATCCCTCTTTCCATACAATCCTCGGCCTTGTTATACATATCCAGGACTTCAGCAGATGGCCCAGTCCCTAACTCAGTTCCACTCGCGATTTCGTAATACCAACAAAGTTTCGCAAGCTCGAATCGTTGTTGTCCAAGTGCGAGAAGGCCTTCGTAGAAGTCCGGTTTGAGTTCCACAGCTTCTTCGTACCTTTTTCCAGCCATTGCATATTCTTTCCGTACCCACTCGTAAGCAGATTTAACCTGTTCCAAGACTGAATCTGTAGAGTCATCTTCTGTAATGTGTACCCGCTTCCTTGCCCTTGACATGTGAATATTTCCCCAATTAAACAACGCTAAAGCTGTCATTTCTTGGAACTTCCCTGCAGCGATGTCGAAAAGAGGATTTGCATTTTCACTTGTCACGGTATCCTCCATAGCTTCTGAGTATAGTTTCATCCCAATCTCGTGAATATCCAAATATGAGTCACATTCAATACCAACATGATTCTTGAAATACCGTGCGAATTGGACTATCCAATCCTCAACACAGATTGGCCCTTTTTTACCACCGCCCGTTACTTTAGTATTATCATCCTCAGAAACTCTAGACGATTTGCTATTTCTGCTCTGCAGTTCTTCCTCGACACTCATTTCGTACACTGGTTCTTTATCGGGACTAACTTCTGCAATGTAGAGCCTTAACGAACCCTGAGGATTAACAGATGCTTCAGCCAACCTGAGCTCATCGTTTGTTGTAATGGTCACCAAGTCACCTTCTTCGTCCCGATACTTAAGAAGTGCACCCTTCAGGTTAGGGAATCGATCCAGAACTATTTCCCTTGCCAATCGAATACTGCAGTTAACGGGTAACTGTGCCCATCTTATATCCTCCCCGAATACCAACTTCACGTTCTTCGTGACCACTTTTTCTTCCTTAACGCTTATCTTCTCCTCTACCACCGCCTTATCCTCAGTCTTCTTCTCGTCCTCCTCTTCAACCTTCTTTGCCCCAACTTCCTCGACTTTCTTCTTGTCATACCTATTACTCCTCCTCTTTTTCGCCTTATCTTTGGCTGCCTTGCTATGAGATGAAGTAACAGGAGATTCAACATATTCGATCTCCTTATCTTCAATCTTTAGACCCTTCTCTTCCATTTGCGATTTTATTGAATCAGCGGTCTCCAACGCAGTCAAATTATTAGGTTCGATGTTCAAGACAAAGTTCACGTCCCTCCAAGCCAAATCTAGCCTATTCAAAGCCTCGTAACACTTGGCTCTCTTCAAAAAAGCTTTGGTATACTTGGGAGCAACTTCAAGTGCCAAATTGCATTCGTTTATTGCCCGTGGGTACTCGCCAATTCCCATCTGCATATAGCAAGCCGCCATGTTGCTGTGCAAGTAAGCAACGTCGATATGATTCCCGGGAAGTAGTTTAATGGCTTTCTCGTACTTCAACATCGCACCCTCGTGATCCCGCCTCTGAAACAACCTGTTCCCTTCCTCCTTCAGCTCTTGAGACATGTTGATGAACACAGCCGTGTCCTCGTCAAACGCCTTAGAGGCTCGATCCCCTCCACCCTTCCCCTGCTCCTTCATGCCCCCAACACTACTCTTCTTTCTCCCTATAGGCTTTCCCATTGCGTCTACTCCAACAAGCTACCGCTCTGCAAAAGCCCAAAATCAAAGCTTTGGAAATAAAACTTTGATTTTGTTCTTCAAACAGTAAAGCACACCTCAGATATCCATTCAAACCTCACAAGACATATCAAATAATTCTAAAAAATTTTGATTTTGTTCTTCAAACAATAAAGCACACCTTAGATATCCATTCAAACCTCACAAGACATATCAAATAATTAAAACACAAATTAAATCTCAAAACAAAGCTCAAGAAATCCCAAATTGATTGAAACACCCATAAAATGAATCAAAAAAACAATTGTTTTAATATTTTCATTCCTTAGATGGGGAAACTCAAAGATAACACCTTTGACAAATTCATATTTTCTTCATATCAAAATCCCACATCAAAGAACAACAAAATATACTTGCAGGAAACATCAACCAGCAAAAAAGCATCCAATTCTGATTCCATATGATTGCAAATTCTAACAAAGATTTTTAAAAGAAATTTAGAAAAACAAAAAAATTTTACCTCCTGGAGTAGACCTGAGGAAAGTCTGTCGACTCCAAACCAGGATTAGTCAAATGATAATTAGAGAGAGAAATGAAACAATTACAATGATGAGAGACAGATAATAAAAGAGATGAGGGAAGGGTATGTTTGGAATAAACAAAAAAATATTAAATTTAATGCTCCGCTATTCCGCTAATACTAAATACGGGAAAAAGCTTTTACACCAACAAATCTTGTCTGTATAAAATATTGTCTGAATTGGAGATCTTATGTTTAAAACGTTTTTATATTAATTACAGGTCGCATTCAAAAAAAAAAATATTAGTTACAGGTCATTAATTAGTGCTTTTTATTTTAATTTTTTAGAAAAACAAATATAATGTACAATATATAAAATGTTAAGTTTATCAGCATAAATATATACGTTCATTACGTAAACTGTGAAAGAAAATACAATAAAAATTAATTGAGTTATTTTTTAACGCCAATGATTAATCAACACATCATAAGGTTAAGAGTAAAATAAGTGTCATAAACTATTTGATATGATATATACAGGGACGGAGCCAGAAATTTGGTTGAGGGGGGGGCGAAACAGTACAGACGGATTCAGAAATTTTTTCCAGTAAAGGCGAAATATTAAAACAAAAGAGATAATTTAAAAATAAATAAATAAATTACTTAAGAAATATAGTTGTAAATATTGTTGGATATGGACGAAAAATAAAACAAATCGAAACTTTATAAAAATATTCATAACAAAATATGAAACATAATTAATGAATTGTAAAATTATGTTTATGACAAGATTTGAACACTTGACGTCACTATTGCCAAATATGTGCTCTACCACCTAATCTAACTCACTCTTATTTACATTTTATAGTTTTTTTATACTAATACTAAAATCTGTACTATATATATATATATATATATATATATATATATATATATATATATATATAAACTATATATGGGGTGAGGTGGGGGTGGGGTGAGGGGGGGCAGCTGACCCCCTGCCTCCCCCACCCCCTTTGGCTCCGTCCCTGGATATATACATTACACATCTCAACTGTTTACACCATTTTTTTTTTTGAAAACTATTGATCCATACTCTTTAATAATATAACAACGCACTATTAGTGCCAAGTGATAGTTCTTCTTCTTTGTAAGTGGGCACGCGCATGCGCAAACTATATTGATATTTGTATCCCACATGAAAAAATTAATCTAACCATGTATTAAGTAGACATAATTCGAGAATAATTCTACCAAAGAAGTTATTGTATTACATATGAATTCAAATCCTGATTATTGGTGCCACATAGCGGCTCTTCTTTTTCTTTTTCTATTTTTCTAACTCCTGATATCATATTTTAAAAACTAACAATCAAAATAAATTTCAAGAAATTAGTTAAGACCTTGTGATCTAATGACACTTGAATTGCACTCTCGTATGAAAGGGAGTGGGTTCGAATTTCAATGGAGGTGACATTGACTCTTTATATTCCAGTTGGTTGAGAAAGTAGTTTATGAACAGCCTCTATCAATAGCATTAAAAAAATTATTTTTTTTTCACCCAATTAAAGAGATAGGTGACGAGATTATTACTCTTGAAAAAGGTACTTACTCCGTAACCTATTTCCATATTAAAAAGGAAGGTTTTATGTATGGCTTCCATTTAAGCTGCCTTTTTCTGACTTGGACGTCAACTTATTATTGCCAACCATGCTGGGACCCTCATTCACATTGTAACAAAAATACATAAAGGCCCCTTGACTGTTTGTAGTCACATAAAAGGTCTATCTTTTTCCACCTTTCCCGCCTCCCTTTACATCTCAAATAGAGGTGGCCAAAGTTAGAGCATGGGGTGGTTCTGTGGGCAAATTATATTATGCACCGCGGTGCATAATCGATTATGCACTGCGCGTCTTTTTTTTTTAACGGTGTTTATTTCCGCCGTTTCGCACCCTTTTGCAAAAAGTAATTCTGTTATCCAGTGTCATTTTGTATACACTGCAGTTTCAGTTGAACACAACTACAGTTTCATTTCGATATAACTATAGTTTCATTCGATATTTATAGACTCAAATATGTGAAAATGTTATTTAATTTTATTTTATATACACTATAGTTTTATTAAAACACAACTACATGATCATTTTGATATAATTACAGCTTCATTGTACAATATACACTCAAATATGTGAAATGTTATTCAGTTTCAGTTTATATACACTGCAGTTTCATTTCACTATAACTACAGTATCATTTTGATATAACTGCAGTGTCGGTTTGGATATACTGTAGTGTCAGTTGGTGTTTAATACACCAAACAAACGGACTCCGTTAACTCTAACGGCGGACCGTTTCTTTACTTAAAGAAACGGTGCCGTATATGGGCCGCGGTGCATAATCGATTATGCACCGCGGTCTATAATATAACAACTGGGTTCTGTGTCGTGCCTGATTCGGGTCGGTTTCGTGTTTGGTCCTGTGTCTTTCGTGGACCGGTTCAAAATTAGGTTCGAGATTTTTATTATTTATTTCTTTTTGTTATATATAAAATAATTAATTTTTTTGTTTGAAATAATATTTGATACAATAATACTAATTAATATTTTTATTTAAAATAATATTAAACCATTCATTTTAAAATTAAAAGTTAATAATATTTTTTACAAGAGTTAATACCACAAATGGTCCTATAACTATTGTGGTAGTACTTCATTTAGTCATTGACTTTCAATTTGAACACAATACATACCTTGATTTTCATTTTTAACCACTAATAGTTCTCCGTTAGAATTTCTGTCAAATGAGTGTTAAATGTAAAGACATAATCGTTAAATTTTAAAAAAAAAAAAAAAAAGATTTGATTAGTGGTTAAATCAAATCAAATCGTCAAATCAAATCGCTTTTCTAAACCGTAGATTCATAATTTATATTGTAGATCCATAAAATTTATACTTTAGATTCATAATTTCTAAACTGTAGATTCATAATTTCTATACAGTAGATTCATAATTTCTATACTGCAGATTCATAATATATGTACTATAGATTAATAATTTCTGTATTGTAAATTTATAATTTCTAAACTGTATAGTTATCAATTATGAACATATAGTTCTCTGCTTTGTAAAAACAGGGTTCAACAATTGGAATCTAAAATATAGAAATTATAGATGTACAGTATAAAAATTATGAATCTACAGTATAAAAATTATGGATATAAAATCGTGCCCATCTTGCACGTGCTTACAGTCATAATTTGCCATAGTTTGTCATAATGATTGAAAGTCAACTTATTAGGACCGTGTCGTGTATTGACAACTCTAACTTGTTCAAATGTCCACATGCAAATTAGGCCCAGAAGCCCTAAAATAATTCCTTCCATGGCCATTGGTGACCATTTCAGACCCCTTTCATGCTCTTATTTTGATTTTTCAACCACCAGCTAGCCGTCCACGTATCCAACTCACACCACTGATTTTGTCTGCATAAAATGAATAATGTGTTACTTGTATTTCTGTTATCAAAATAAATATAAATGACTAAATTAACCTTTTAATCATAAGGACAAGTCAATGTCACCTCAAATTATGAATCATGCTGGCTGTTTTACTTTCTTTGGTACAGTTATCCCTAATTTCAAGGCATCCTCACTAGTTGGTTTTTTATACACATTTTAAGATGTCAAGTATGAGAGAAAGGAGTGAAAAATTAAATAGAAAAAAAAAAATAAGAAAATGAGTTTTCAGGGAAAAAAATTATGGTAACGCGCATGGTTGTGGGCGCTATTACTTTGTTGCGCCTCACGCGATAAATGGTGTCCATTTTCAATTTTGGTGGAGCCCATTTTAGAGATCAAAAATCACTTCTTGCATGAAGCTTATTTCTTCTCTCTCCTCATTCTTTCTCTTCCACTTCAGCCAAAATTTCCTCAAAAACTGAGCCAAAATCACTATTGTGGTTGTTCTAACTTTGCACATATTCTCAACATAAGATTAATAGCTTGGTAACCACAAGATTCTAAATTCGACTCTGAATATGAGCAACTTATTGGTCTTCTTAGTTTGAGCCAACTAGCTATGGACAATCTAGACCGATTTACTTCATTGTAGTTCTTTGTAGGCTAGCATTAAAATGTATGATATACGCAGTACATACCCTCAATAATGACATTGAGTTTTTCTCATCACTTAAAAATAAAATAAAAGTAGCATAAAATTTAAAACACACCAAACACATGTGTAACCATCTAACAAAATTTGATATTTGAAATTTTTGAAACGTTACCTCAATACATAATTAGAAATGATATTTGATTCTACATATAATTAAGTGAGTAATAAATATGAAGGATGTGAGTAAGATGAAACATATCTTTTCGATTTAACTAGAGTATTAGGTTTGTGTTAGCCCTCAAGATTACTTTGACTGAAAAAACTTATAATAACAATAGCAACAAAAAAAAAAATAAAAAAAAAAATACAACAATAATAACAACAACAATAACAACAACAACAACAACAACAACAACAACAACAATAATAATAATAATAATAATAATAATAATAATAATAATAATAATAATAATAATAATAGAGTAATTTTTTTTAAAATAATAATAGAGTAATTTTTTGAATACTATTGACTCTATTACAAGGTAATATCTATTCCAATAATAAAGTAATTTGATTATTCATTTCTTACCATCTTTTAGGTTTAAACTGCAATTAATTAAGATCTTATAATATTTTTATTTTTTTTGGTAGGATAAGATCTTATAATAATGAATGTACGGTGGCACAGCTACATGAGCGCGTGAGGATAACAAACGATGTATATTAAATTATTAATCATGTGTGCCCAACATTCATGAATGAAGTGGATATTCCACAAAGTATTATTTGGGTGGTGTTGCTATTTGCACCACCTTTTGACCAAAAATGGTATAAAGTATCATTGGAAATGTAAAAAGACTATAATTTATAATAAATATATAGGTGATGCAAATAGTCTAATGAATGGTCAAAATGCTATTTGCACCACCTTATTAAAACTGCATTTATTAGGCCAAAATTAATTCAAAATTTAATTCATAAAAAAAAAAAAAAAAAAAAAAAAAAAAAAAAAGAGCAACCATCGCCTTCTCTGGTGAGAAGGCAGCCCAGTAGGTCGCCTTCTCGCCGAAGAAGGCAACCCACACAGTGGGCTGCCTTCTCCGGTGAGAAGGCTACTATGTGGGTTGCCTTCTCCGGCGAGAAGGCTACCCACTGTGTGGGCTGCCTTCTCGTCGGAGAAGGTGACGGATCTCCTCTTTAAAAAAAAAAAAAAAAAAAAAAAAAAAAAAAAAAAAAAAAAACTCACTGGGTTGCCTTCTCCGGTGAGAAGGCAACCCACTGGGCTGCTTTCTCACAGGAGAAGGCAGCCAGTTGCCTTCTCCGGTGAGAAGCCTTCTCCCGGAGAAGGTGACGGGATGGAGGAGTTTTTTTTTTTTTTTTTTTTTTTTTTGTAATTAAAAAAAAAAACAAATAATATTCATTGACCACATTTAATGCTGGCATTTACACCACCTATAAAGTTATTTGACCCTACTAAATAGGTGGTTCAAATAGTAAAATAGGTGGTGTAAATAGAATTACCCTATTATTTTTGTTGGTGTTTTTTTTAATTACCGTGCAGCTTTCAGGAAAACGCGCTTTCCTTTCTTGTCTTACGATATCTCCAACTCTGGTCCCAAAAGGTCGAATCCCCAATCCTAAGAGTTTCATATTTCGATCCGACAGAGTATGTGGGAGGAGGTAAATTACGGTGACTCAATGATATCTTCAACCCTTCTCCCACAAAAGGTTGTAAAAATCGGTCTAGGCGCCCGTCTAGACCCCGCCTAGGCGCTAGGCGCCTCTAGACTGTGGCGATTTCCCCCCTAGGCGCCCGCCTAGGTTACCGGCCGCCTAGGCGTCCGCCTAGCGCCTAACTCGGCCGATTTGGCCGCCTAGCGTCTAAGTTAGTTGAGTTAACTCGTCCATTTCGGTCGGGTTAACCCGATCGACTCGGCCTATTTTTTTTATTATTATTATTATATATATATATATATATATATATATATATATATATATATATATATATATATATATATATGTGTGTGTGTGTGTGTGTGTGTGTGTGTGTGTGTGTGTGTGTGTGTGTGTGTGTGTGTGTGTGTGTGTGTGTGTGTGCGCGCGCGCGTACATATTTATAATATGACATATATACCCTCGTAGACTAGTTTGATACTTTGAATCTTTGGATGATTGAAGTATTTGAGTATTTCATATTTAAGTATTTTTAATTTTTAATATTGTTTTAATGTTTTTTTTTTTTTTTTGTAAACCATTGTTTTGATGTTATGACTTATGAATTATCATTAATTCATTTATTTGGATGTGTTATTTGATTAAATGTTGAAAACAACCTCATTAAAATTGTCAAACTGCAAGTCTACCACTGTTTTTTTGGCGCCCGCCTAGCGCCGCCTAGATTCCGCCTAGGCGCCGCCTAGACCGCTTAGGCGCTAGGCACTGTCCGAGCGCCCGACTAGCACCTAACGCCTACTGCAACTATGCCCACAATGAACATGCTTGGTAGAATAGTTAGCTTATCAGTTAATTTTAACTTATTTGACTATTATTATTTATTAGATATTTGACTTGGTTAAAAAATTAATATAAGTGTTTAATTAATAAGTCTTTTTTTAAATTAAAAAAAAAAAGGATTAATAAGTTTTTTGTAATTTCAAAATGTTAAAATTCAAAAAGCTACTCAAAATAACTTTTTCAATTAGTTTTTGAGAAAAAATAATACCAAACAACTATTATCTAATAGTTAATTTACCAAACACTTTTTTACAATCAGATAATGTTATCAACTAGTCATACCTTCTAACCCAATCAGCTAACAGTCATTTACCAAACAGGCTAATATCTCTAATTTATGGGCATAACTCATCTACATCACCTAATAATCTCCTCTCTTATTTTTTTCTCAATCTTTCTTCCCTTTTCTCCTCTTTATGTGGGTCCTACTTCTTTACACTCTTATATGTCATTTATTATTTAATTCATTTTTCTATAATTAAAAAAAATCAATTTTATAATTTTAATTTTAATTTTAAATAAAAATAAATTTAAATAACGAAATACAAAAATTTTAAATTATAAAATATAATTTCGTTAACTAATTAAAATATATTTTCATAAATTAAAATTCGTATTTAAAATTGTCTAGGGAGAAAATTAAAATTTCATAACACACAAAATTTTAAATACTAAATATGATAACTAGGTTAGGGCCGATGATCATGTCGAACAAATTTCCCTTTTTTCACATTAAATTGGTTCTGTTCCATTACTTCCATGTTTCCTAAGACATGATTTTCTCGGCGAATTTCAACAAATATTGGGTTGAGGTTTTTAAATTGCAAATAAATTCAATTTCTAAAAATAATATTCAAGGCATCATGCGTTATTAATAACATTAATAAGCATTTATGAAAACTATTACAAAGAGTCAATATCACATCCACTTAAATTCGAATTCACAACCTCTCATATGGGAGAGCAACTTGGTGTCACTTGACGCCAAGGTAATTGGCCATTAATAACCATCTATATGTGTTCAGCAAGTGTCTACCATTATAAAATTAATGCGATGATAAATTGCATTAAAATCTTACCTCATTTATAATTGATAAAACCTTATTCATTTAATTATAAAAATATTTTTTAAGTAAAGAATCTTGAGTATTTAAAAAAAAAAAAAATCTTATAATTTAGATAACAATTTTTTAAAAATATTTAGAAAATTTGAAATTGTGTCAAAGTAATATATAGACACAAAAATCGCATATCTACCACTTTAATAAGAGTCAATATTGTTAGACCCTTAACGGGAACTAAAAAAATGTCGGTACAACACATGCTTTAAAGAATTGTACTTTGTGCCTTTCTAATTATACAATGCCAACTTAAAATTCTAATATAACCTCAGTCTTCTTAATTTTACCAAATTTTCAATGTTAAATTTAACTATTCCGTCAAATGAAGTTGGGCGGTGGCAAAATTGAAGTTTACGTCAAATTTAATGGCAATTAAGAGAAGCATTATCGCCAAACAAATTTTAACGGCAATTAGGAGAAGCATTATCGCCGACCGCAAACAAATTAGGGTAGCACTGAGAAGCACGGCCGATCGCCGTCCGTGACTAAGGAGAATCAAACACAGTGCAATTAGGAGAAGCACAGCCGAAGAAACAGAGCAAAAAATTAGTGCAGCAAAAGCGTCCTAAGAAGAATCAAATTTCTAATAAATAATTTAAAAAATAAAAAAATAAATTTAAAATTTAAAAAATATATAAATTATTTTAAAAAGACACGTGTCAAAATTTTGGAGAAATAACCTGTTGAATATGTCAACTTAAGGAAGGGGTAATTTTGACTCATCACTATCTCTTTTTCTTCCTAAAATCCTAGGAGGACATGGGATTTTAATTCCATGAAAATGAAAAAATTGCAATTCCTTTTAACCAAACAAAAGAATTTTGTGACCTTTGAAGTTACGTGGGATTAAGTGGGAAGGAAATTTAAATTCTCTTCAACCAAACGCCCTAAACGTTGAACTTTGTAGGGAAAACTCCAAATTTTGTTTCCATTCTCGTATCGATGAAAAGAAAAAAACATCATACATTTAACATAAACTACAACTTCTATCTCACATAATTTGGAAATAAAAAAAAAAATATTAATCTTATTTATTTAATTAAAAACTGTGTCCAAAACAACTATGCTTTGACACAATTATCCCTTATAAAATGGGAGAGATGAAGTATATTATAAGGTTTACATTACATATGGACAGGATACCTACTACCTAGTTTGTTCTACAGACTTCCCATAAGACAGATTACATCAAGCAGGTTGTATTTCAGTATAATAATAGAGTAAAGAATCCCCAGTTGTGAATGTTTCAAATTAGAAGCAAATACTAATCAGTCAAGAGGTTAACATTGAGAGCAACTTATCTCTATAGTTTCGACTACAATTCCAACAGCAATTGATGAAGCTAAAGACGCCAGCTTCTGTAGGATGGCCAACATCTGTTTCCCGCTTCATTAGAACCCTAATGAACTCATCTGAGCTTAAACTTCCATCTTGGTTATCGTCAAATACATGGAAAATTATTTCTATCACGTTGTCCGTGAGATGCACCCCGCAAACCTGTATCAGTAAAGATAAGTACAATGATATTACTCTACTCTTCTTATACTGGTGATTTAAATTTCACTTAACATTTCCACCTTAGTGTCTGGGATCACGCTAATATATATAAGGGTTCAGGTGAGAACATGTTCCAAAGTAAAAAGTGAGGACGAATCTGATTCATCCTTCTGGGTAGATCAATGGTTGAGAGTTGTAAAAAATAAGGGGAAAAAGGACGAGATTCATTTTATAAATATTGCAACCTTGAAAGTTCGCAATAATTACAAAATTGACCTCGTATTTTTTTACTAAACCCCTCAACCATTGATGAACCATAATGGGCGACGGAGATCAGTCGTCACTTTTTATAGGAAGACCCTATAATGCAATAATAAAGTATGGAAGCGAATAGCAAAGAAGATTGCTTACTTGGGAAGCAGCTCTTTTAAAATCACTTCTAGTCAAAAGCCCGTTTACCTCCCCATAACTGAAAAGTGCCAGTGAAAATGGAAGTAAACTTTTGCGCAGCTCTGCATAACTCTTGAATTCGTCAAAGGAGATACGGATGTTCCTTAATTGTGGATTGTTGTCCAAATGATCAACTTGTCGAAGCAGCTTGCCCAAATGCTTTAAATCAGCAGAAGCAACCATGGACAGTGCAAAATCCTTTGCTGATATGGTTCTTTGTAACTTATAATCATAATGAGCAAACTCCAACCTTATAATCTGTTGAGTACACATAATAGAAAAGAAGGCAGGATTACAACTAGAGGTGTAAGAGTGATCATGGATGTGTGAATGGAGGGCAGATAAACTGTAAAAGAAATCCCGAATAAGCTATAATGCATATGCATACTTAAACTAATACGGAGTAATACACTAATGTCGGCATACATTAAACAATTGCCATACTAAAGAGAAATGAAATAGAAGTGGAACTTCCGGTCACTTTATAACTGCATAAAGAAAAGAAAAGCAATGACAACAGCCAATAAAACATAAGGTGGCTCTATGACCAAAACACTACTTTAAGACTACAATTTCTCTTCCAAGAAAAACCTATTGACCAGTAATATCTTGAATGTCTTTAAACAATATGATTCATTCATTCAATAATTAATACTTCATAGAAGAAAATTAAGTGTTATCAATCTTACACTACTACTAGTTGAACCTACTGAAACTCTCCTTTTAACTCTATTTGGCGTAGCATCAGAATGTGGCAGATGAACTCAGAGGCAAATGGAATTAATATGAATTCCACTACTGCTTACCAACAGGGGAAGAGGTTCAGTGAAATCAGAACAAAATTAGACTAATATTTCCTAATGCTTCACAAAATGGCAACATTGGAGACTGAAAGGAAAAGCCAGTTCATAAATCTGTACAATTCTAAATCCTAAACCACCTGCCAATTCCTCATCATCACCAGAACTCCAGACAGTTATAAATTCTAATTCATGGTGATTTTTTTTTGTAGTTCTTTTCTTTTGTTCTTAGCTACAGGCCAGAGTATAATATCATGAAAGGACACAATACATCATCATAGCATAAAAATTACTACACAATTTGGTAAGGTACTACGAGATGGTGAAAAAGGCCATACTTCATCATGCAGATCTCTTAAAAACTGGACAAATTTATCATGTTGAAGTCGCTGCTTCCCATCTTCCCCGAATAAGTACTCCAGTAGGCCTCCATTTTCCACTTGACCACCCAAACTATGCCCTGCTCGAAGTCCATCACTATGATGAGCACCTTGCCTATTGTGGGATTGCATCAATCCCATCACTTTCTTGAATTCAGCCAAATCTATCTCTCTGTAAGTGCACAAAGCATTAACTAAATAAATCAGAAAAAGTTGGGTAATGGATAAAAGCCTTGACGTATAAAGTGGAGAATTGGGTACTTCATAATCCAAGAGAACAAAGAAGCAACAGGATACCCCCTGACTGAGGTGGCAAGACACAATCGACGGTAATACCTATGCTGCATGAAACAATCAAAACTAAACACGAAGTTCCACTGGCAGCAGAGTAATACACACTAAAGTTCAGAGCCCCTTCCAGCTAATCAGCACACCAATGTTTACAACTGCTTCAAGTAACACCAAGGATGCCGTGGGTGACTCTTTTCTACCTGGTTGTTTTATTAAAAATCTAAAACGCATATACTTAAGTTTTCATGGTTATGCATACAAGTATAGGTAAAACAAACAAGGTATTACAAGTTTACAAACACCACTTCAATCCAGAAAAGATTGTGAAAATCTAATATGTAAAAAGTACAAAAGGATCATTCCTTAACCTGATTTAGCAATACCGTGAATTACAATTTCAAATTTTTGAATTCAATTAGACACTTACCCATTACAATCACGATCAAACATCTTGAATGCCACTGAGAAACTTGATTCAGGGATACTGAGTAGTGTAACAAAAAATATATACCTGTAACAAGATAAAATATATGATCTTTTCAAGCTTCTGAAGAGATAGATTCCAAACAGAAAAAATAAAAAATAAAATAAAGGAGAACAGAAAGCTCCGAAAGCAGGCAAACATGGTTAAAGAAACAAGAAATCTACAAAAACACCAAGATTTATCACTCACTCTTTAAAAGATATTAGGCCATCACTGTTTGTATCAAAGAGCATAAAAAATTCTGAAGGGGCACATTGGAGTTCACCAGGACCCCTTTCCCCACTTAGATATCCATCCCTCACAAGGTTGGATTCAGATGGTGGGAAGACAGGAACAACTGCTCTCATCAAATCAGCTGGTGTCATAAAAATTTCTCCATCATGGCCATGAAAGGACGCAAAGTACTCAAAAACCTTCAACAAGACCATGAACACAAGTAAGATGGCATTGGAAACAAATAAATTACGATCCCTGTTTGCATAGAATCCTGCTAAAATAGCTTCCACACAACTTGAAAAGGTAGTTGTTTACATAATCACATCTTACAAAATATAAGAAAAAGAGCAAGCACACTGTGCACAAATAAATTAAGTGGGTAAAGCATCTAGATTCAAATGATAATGCTCCAGGTGGGTTCAGAAAGAGAAAGAAAAACTCCGCAGCACAATCAATAAGATGTAGAATTTTTATTTAACCACTATCTAAGTTCTTGATTGCTCATAATAAGCTGCCTATAAACCTTTACTTGTAATAGGATTTCCCAACCTTAAAGACATATTTGGTTAAAGATAAAAGCAGACATTCTCCACTGGTTTCCTTTGTCTGGATACCTTAAAAACAGTTACAACACAACACTAATGGGGTGTCAATTTTCAAAACCATTCTATTTCAGGAAACCCTAACGATCATTTAGCTAGAACCATTTTTGCAAGCAAGCATGAGTAACAAGCCTGATTAATTCATTTTATAAATGATATGTGCATAGTTTATGCACTCGGTTACCTTTTCAGGAGGACTTCGCATCCTAATGCGCCTCTCGTAATTGAAAAACACTTTTCTTCTAAAAGCATCTGCAAATAAAATCTCAGCATTCATTTTCAATCCAGAAGAACTTTACCAGAACATACAAAGTGAATAGAGAAGTCGAATGCGTATCCTTAAAATCAAAAACACAAGAAGCTAAATAACGAATCCGAGAATAATTGAACAGCTACCTCCAAAGAGAAACTTAGGTCGACGATGATCGACAGAAGACGACGGGACGGCAGTAACGGTAGCGGGGGCCGGTGTTGCCCAGTCAGCGAAGGAAACGGATGGAGAAGAATAGGAATATACAGCGAGAGAAAGAACGGAGGTGGTGATGATCCCGGAGAGCCACCTCAAAAACGCCGACGAGTCGTCGCCATTTGGATTATTGCAAAGGTTTGATGTGGCAGTGAAGGAAGGGGGAGGAGGTGACTGCGCCGGCGGCGAGGTGGAGAATCGGCAGAGCTGAGAGTGTGGGAACGTGGAGAGGCGGCGGAGAGGCGGTGTTGATCGTCGGAGAGCTGACCAGGTGGACATATTCTTCGTTTCAGATGGGAAATGACGCGAAACCGGTGGAGGAAACAATTCGGATTTCTTATCGTTAAACTGGAAAACAAAATTACAAATACACCCCCATTTTAAATGTTACTCCATTCATCCCGAATTGATTATACCATGATGCTTTTTAAAGAATTAAAATAAATGATATATGTTTTCCTATTATACACCTTACTTTTGAAAATAAAATTAATAAAAAAAAAAAAACAAAACAAAACTCATGAGGATAAATTCTAAAAAATAAAATAATCATGATGTCTAATTTTGAAAAGAGGACAATAATTTAGGATAAATTAAAAAAAAAAAAGATAGATAAAATGAAATAGAGGAAGTAGTAAAAATTAAAAGTTAAAAGCTCCTAAATTAAGTATTTAAAAAAAAATTATTTAGCAAAATTAATTGTTAAATAAATTGACATATGAAAAAATAAAAAATAAAAACAAAAACAAAAATAAAAATGTGCATATGTTATCGGAGTATTTTATTTTTAATGGTGAAGAGAATAGACTATCCATATATGAAATAGTATATTTTATATTTTTTTAAAATATTTATTTAAAATGACACATCTGTTACTTTTTCTTCTTGATGGTGGAGACGTTGATTCTTTGGGTTAAAAAAATTAAAAAGTATAAAATAAATATTATTTTGTAAAAAAATTATAAGTGTTTCAAAAAAACATTACTTTTAATATAATAATATAATAATAATAACTTGACAGGCACATAATTTCAATTCATTCTACTTTTTACATATTTTTACTATTTACAAGTAGTATTATTTTATTGAATGTATTTTGAAAGAGAAACTAACGTTTGATACGCGAAATATGCCTAGAATGAAATAGCATTTCCAATAATACGCATATTTCGCTATTTAGTAAAAACTTCTATTCTTAGAAACAATGTTTCTGAGAATGACCTATTCCCCTTGCAAGGGGAATAGAGATTCTTGGCCCTTTTAGGTATTATGCTATTATTGAGTTTTTAAAAATAACATAAAGTTGCTATTTTCTTATTTTACCCCTTAATTAAATCTAAAATTTGCATATGTTTTAGGTTCAAACTCTTCCGCCTTCACAAAATATTTATCTAATTCTATGGTGAATGTATATGATGTTTTAATTTTTTAGGAATAAGGGTCAAATAGGCCACTCAACTAACTGCACACCAAATTGTAATTAGGTCATTGAACTAAAAAAGATGCAATTGAGCCATTGAACAACACAAAAACATGCAATTTAGCCCAAAATGACTTGTTTACCTGATGTAGCAAGTTACCGATTTTAAAATTAATTTTTAAAAATAATTTTTAATAAATAAATAATTAAAATATTAAAAAAAAAAAAAAAAAAAAAACAGAAACTACCGACTGGATATGATTCGTCTCCGGCCGGCTTCGTCTCCATGGCCGAAGACGAACCTCCGTCTCCAGCTATGGAGACAAAGACATTCATCTCCATAGCCATGGAGACGAAGGTCTCTTCGTCTCCATGGCAGGAGACGAAGCCAGCCGGAGACGATTAGTCTCTGGCCGGCAGTTCCTCTTTTTTTAAAAAATAATATTTTAAATAATTAATTATTCAAAATTATTTTTAAAAATTAATTTTAAAATCAGTAACTTGCTACACCAGGTAAACAGGTTGTTTTGGGCTAAATTACATATTTTTGTGTTGTTCAATGACTTAATTGCATTTTTTTGAGTTCAATGGCCTAATTGCAGTTTGGTGTGCAGTTGAGTGGCCTATTTGACCCTTATTCCAATATTTTATATGATTTTTCTATTTATTAGATTTTATATTTTTATAAATAAATAAATAAATATATATATATATATATATATATATATATATATATATATATATATATATATATATATATAAGACTAGATTTTAACAAATAGTCTATACGATGTGGATATAAACTCTATGTAATTAGAATATAAATATTATTATTATTATTATTATTATTATTATTATTATTATTATTATTATTATTATTATAATAAGAGTATTTATATCTTTTAAAACATATTTCATTTATATTTCTTAACCAACCAAACACTGTAATATAATTTTTATATCTATTCCTTCCGCGAATCGAACAATAGAATACAATTCCTATTCTATTCATTGCCTATTCTATTCTTTTTGGAACAACATTTCTATTACCTCAAAATTCAATCTGTGAACTAAATGTGCTATAAATGTTAAGATAATTTTTTTTATGTGAATTGGATATAAGGAAAAATTAAGAGTTAATCCCCCAGAGCAACCTGAATTTTGTAAAGTATGGAAAATTATATTGCGGACCACTGATAACATTTTTAGTATATTAAAAATTTATTTTTGATGTATTAAATGTTCATTTTTAGATATATATATACTTAAAGTTAACCTTCAATGTAACAAAAAAAAAAAAAAAAAAAAAAAAAAAAAAAAAAAAAAAAAACTAAAAATGAATATTTCATATACTAAAAATAAACTTTCAGTATACAAAAAATGAACATTATGTCAATGGTCCACATATAATTGAACCGTAAAATACCATAGTTGTTAATAGACAAAAAATTGAAAAGTTTAGACCTTATTTTGTAAAATGGAATAAGAGGTAGTGTTTCAAATAAAAGTTTATCTTAAATTCTTCTATATTAAACAAACAGAACTAATTGTTGTGAATTAAAGCATATCCTCGCGTGAATCGTTGTATCGTCATAATCCTGGGAAAAGCAGTAAACATGCATAGTAATATAAGGCAAAGTAAAGAGAAGACTAGAAGTACTAAGAATCATCAATTTATTATTATTCATTCATCAATCCAATATATACATGGTATATAGAGTTGTAGTTAGTTCGTCGCTTAACTTAAAGGTAATAACTGAAAGCGGTAATGTGGGAGTTCGAATTCCATTGAAAGCATATATGGAACAAAAAGCTCAATGATGCTGGAAGATCTAGATTGGATCCCTTGTACATACATGAAGACTAGGATATGACCGGTGGGCTGATTGCGCGACTACAATTATGAAGAAGTACTATCATAATGTAATACCTCTAGTAATGTCCAGATGTATTTATTTACAGCACTCATTCTTGGACGTTGCTATATCATACTCATGCCTAGTAGTGGATTTGACCCGCCTATATACTCATACCTCGTTAAAATGTTTTAATAGTAATATATTATATTATTATAATTTGTTTGAATGTTGTGGTAGATGGTTAGTAATGAGTATTGAGTTGTTATAAAGGTTAAGGAATCGAATCTTATTAATAATACTAGTTTTTTACGCGTATTATGTAATTGGGATAATGCCTAATGTTTTTATTTTATTTTTTAAAATAAGGACTTTAAAGTATATTAAGCAAAGATTATATTGAAATTGTTCGTGCATAGATAATTGAATGTTGAATTTGTGTCTTTAAATAGGTAATTCTAAGTTTACAAATGCAAGATAATATATTCAAGATTGATTATAATTGTCAATAAAATAATTGTATAGTATGGTTGAAACCAAATACGGGACATAAGGGAAAGCAAATAAAAATTAGGGCATAAAATATTAAATATATATTAATATTGAAGAGCTAACTGCTGATTGCCAAATAATTAAGGACATTGCGAGGTAGTTTCACACTTCAATTTGTTGTGTGATTTGAATATTTTTTTTAAACGATAATAATAATAATAATAATAATAATAATAATAATAATAATAATTATTATTATTATTATTATTATTATTATTATTATTATTATTATTATTATTATTATTATTATTATTATTATTATTATTATATGTATACCCTTAGGTCATTTTACATGTTAATCTAAATAGCTAATTTTTTCAAATATCGTTTTAGCAACCGTTGATATAATTCGCTGGTCAAATCCGCTAACGCTAACCGCTAACTACTGATTGTCAAACAAAGACATTGCGAGGTAGTTCTCACTTCAATTTGTTGTGTGATTTGAATACTCTATTTGTCAACAAATCCCTCAAGTAGTTAATATGATTGACTTTATTAATTATATATATATTTTTATTTTTTTCATGGTATTAATAAAATACTTGGTAAATAAATATATAGCATTGTTTTATATTATAAATTTGACATTTAATTAAAAAATAGTGCACAAAAAAGATAATAGACAATGTAGTGAATATAATCAATTGATGAATTTGAATGTAAAGAATGTTTACATTGGAGAAAAATAAAGACAATATAACTAATAAAATTATTTCTCTTAATTAATTTATTGATAATGAATAATTTTTTTTAATAAAGACATTGTAGGGACAATGTAGCGAATATAATCAATTGATGAATTTGAATGTAAAGAATTTTTATGTTGGAGAAAAATAAAGACAATATAACTAATAAAATTATTTCTCTTATTTAATTTATTGATGATGAATATTTTTTTAAATAAAGACATTGTAGACACATAATTCTAAATTAAAGAAATGCATATGCACTATTTTTTGTTGTAGCTACTAAATTATTAATTAATTTAATAAGAGTAAAATAAAGTACTAATTATACCAACTTTGATTGGATGAGGTTCGAACCTAAGACCTTTCTTATTAAAATCAATGAGTGAGATAATATTTAACGAATAATCATATCATATTGATTAAGGATAAATTAGGAAATCTTAAGGAAGATTAAAATTTGATCAATCTGAGCCATTCATTTGATTAAACAATTTGACCGTCATTTCCTATTGACCAATGGTGGATCCGCCATTTGTGACAGTTTGGAGCAACGGTTTGCTCAAAACCGCTGCTTTTTTGGCGGATCCGTCATTTTTGACAGTTTGGAGCAACGGTTTGCTCCAAACCGCTGCTTTTGCAAACACTGCAAAGTGCAGCGTTTGCAGTCGACATTTTTGAAAAAATTAAATTTTTCCCAAAATGCCCCTCTTTATATATATATATATATATATATATATATATATATATATATATAAAACTTAAAACTTATTTTGAGGAGCCAAAACGGCTCCTCAATGTTGCCCATCTGGGATGGGC